TTTGATTATTCATTACTAGAATGAATTGATAACTCAACTTGAAAAAACACAATGTCATTTGAATCGAGAATATGGAAATGAATTGATTATAGATGACCTTGGTAATGTGCAGCATGATAATTGTATTGAACATTGTTTAAACTTTGCATTTGGTGATTGCAATGAACATCATCCTATTAGTTGTGAAAATTGTAGTCAAATAGATCTTATTTTCCAAAAGATTCTAGAATTTACTCCAAATGAAAAAAGCCAAACAATTGAACTCTGGGAAAAATTACAATATTTCTGGGCTCACCAAGCCAGGAAAACATATCTCAATGCACAATCTAAAGCCACATTGCTTCATCTAGATAAGGATGGTGCTGTGATCATAGTTGACTACAAAATGAAGATTTTGCCTCAATCAGCACGAGAGGTGAATTCTGATTTTTTTTGAAAAAAGGATATACTTTGCATACCTTACTAGTATATACAAGAAAATCTGATGATTCTACTTTGTTGAATCTTGAAGTTTTAAATCATTGGTCATCTGACCCAACACAAGATGCTTGGTTCACAGCATCACCCTTTGATGGTTTATTTTCTACAATGGAAAAAAACCCTTTATGGATTGAAGTATTGTCTGATAATGGTGCACATTATCATAATAAAGAGTTGATGATGATGATTAGTTGATGGAGTAAATGGTATAATATAAAAATAAGATTGTGGATTTTTTTGGAACCTGGTGAAGCAAAGACTACTGTTGATTCCCACCATGCACAGGTATGTTTATTTTATTAAAAAATTTTTTACCTATATATCATCAGGAAAATGGGTACAAATATTATGCGTATATAATACACAATTGCAGGGATTAAGCATATAATATGCATATTTTTTTATGTATGCAAATTGTACATATATTATATGCTTAATCCCTGCAATTGTGTATTATATACGCATAATATTTGTACCCATTTTCCTGATGCATATACTTCAATTTTAAAACAATTATAAAAAAAACTTACAAAGTGAACATAAAATTATAAAACTATATATATATAAGGATATGTGTATATTGTGAGATAGTAAATCTTGGACCTATCAATTACCCGGCTAATATTGACCAATTAAAACGAACTTACTACGGAAGTCATGTGATGCGCTAAATATATTATTGTAATGGCTACGCCACAGATTGCGCAGTGTCATATGAAAGACTATTCCTATTCATATTTCTATATTTATATTTATTAACCTTCTCATCTGATGTA